TCTTTCCTTTCTCTCTTCCTTCCATCTGTCTCTATCCTTCCTTTCTCTCTTCTTCCCTCCCTCCCTTCTTTCCTTCCCTCGTTCTTCCTCCCTTCTTTCCTTTCATCTCTCTTCCCTTCCTCCCTCTTCCTTCCTTCCTTCCTTCCTTCCTTCCTTCCTTCCTTCCTTCCTTCCTTCCTTCCTTCCTTTCCGTCTTCTTTCTTTTTTCTTTCTTTCTTATTTTCTTTCTTTCTTTCTTATTTTTCTTTCCGTCTTTCTTTCTTTCTTTTTTCTTTCTTTCTTATTTTCTTTCTTTCTTATTTTCTTTCTTTCTTTCTTATTTTTCTTTCTTTCTTTCTTTCTTTCTTTCTTTCTTTCTTTCTTTCTTTCTTTCTTATTTTCTTTCTTTCTTTCTTTCTTTCTTTCTTATTTTCTTTCTTTTTTTCTCTTTCTTTCTTTCTTTCTATTTTCTCTCTCTCTCTCTCTCTCTCTCTCTCTCTCTCTCTCTCTCTTTCTTTCTTTCTTTCTTCTTTTCCCCTCTCACCAGTAAGGCGACTCTGGACCTTAAAGACTTAAAAATGGGCCTTCCAGCCTCATCACCTTCCCCGTTCTGATTCCCTTGCAGTTAGCTTCTACCAGATCCCAACGCATTTCTAACATGTTTTCTAGTCCTCATGAATCTCCCAACTGTTCCAATTGACTTGAAATAGTCTACAAAAGCTGCGAAGAGATTTTTAGCAGGAGGAGGCCTCCTTTCCCCAAACCAAGTTGGTGGGTGTAACTATAAGAAACCCCCCCCCCAAAAAAATGTGGCCCAAGGACAGTCTATTAGTGCCCCAAATAAAATAAATAATCCAGAGATGTCCCCAGGAGGGGTTTATTAAAGGCAAGCTGTTTAGTTTAGTTTAGTTTACTGTCACTGCACCTCGGCGTAACAAAATTAAACACCATCTTCAGTATGCATTTAGAACAAACACAAACCCACATCCTTCACACTCCACACACTGAATGGAAAACCCCTGATATTGCATGAATGTTGCACTACACAGCAGAGATCGACAGAGCTACAGGCCTGGGATAGAAGCTGCTTTTCAGCTTATTTGTCCTGGTTTTTATTATTCTCCTGTACCGTCTGCCAGATGGTAACAGTTCAAAAAAAAAAAGGGTGTGTGTGTGTGCGCTGGATGAGTTGGATCTTTGAGGATGTTTTGAACTTTCTTAAGACAGCGGGAGCTCTAAAGCTCTTCCAAAGAGGGGAGAGGGCAACCAATGATCCTCTGGGCAATGACATTCACCCTACCTGGAGCACTTTCCTATCTGCCCCTGTGCAATGGGCAAACCCTACACAGGTGTGCAGTAACAACACAACGTTGCCAAGATGGAGAAATACCCCATTAGAGATTTTTGATGGATGCAAACCCAACGCTGTCACCTTGCAGCGAGAAGGGACGGGGGCAAAGGAATTAAAATAAATGAATAAATTGTGATCCGTATTTTATTTTATTATTTTTTTTAAAAAAATGCTGCTTTGCAAAACGTTCCCATCCTTACGCTGGGTTTCCTTTCAGCCAGCCCACCGTCGTCTCTCCTGCTCCTACGAGACCAACCGCAGCCCTTGGCTGATCCTGCAGCCGCTGAAAAAGGAGTTGTTGCACCCGCGGCCTGAGCTGGCCTTGTATCACGACTTCCTCAGCTCTTCCGAGGCGGAGAAGATCAAAGCGCTGGCGGCTCCGGGCGTAAGTGATGATGGCGGGCTGTGGGTGCAGTGGAGGGATTCAAATGTTTAAACTACCTGTTCTGTGGGCGTGGCTTGGTGGGTGTGGCTTGGTGGGGGCGTGGCAGGGAACGGTTCCTGCAAAATCCCCCTTCCCTTCTCTCCCCACCCCGCTAACCTGCTTTCCAGCTCCGTTCTCCTGGGCAGGGCAACCAAAGGAGACCCAGCCGATCAGCTGTGGGAGTGGCTTGATGGGCGTGGTGTTCTATGGGCGCGGCTTGGTGGGCGTGGCAGGGAACGGTTCCTGCAAAATCCCCCTTCCCTTCTCTCCCCACCTCACTAACCTGCTTTCCAGCTCCATTCTCCTGGGCAGGGCAACCAAAGGAGACCCAGCCGATCAGCTGTGGGAGTGGCTTGATGGGCGTGGTGTTCTATGAGCGCGGCTTGGTGGGCGTGGCAGGGAACGGTTCCTGCAAAATCCCCCTTCCCTTCTCTCCCCACCCCGCTAACCTGCTTTCCAGCTCCGTTCTCCTGGGCAGGGCAGCCAAAGGAGACCCAGCCAATCAGCTGGGCTCAATGGGAGGCGGAGAATAGATAGGGGCGGGGCCAGACAGAGGCGGGATTGGCCGGTTCTCCAAACTACTCAAAATTTCTGCTACCGGTTGAATCCCACCTCTGGGGGTGTGAATGTCTCCTTCTGCCTTTCTCTTGCTGTGAAGGGCTAGGGAGACCTCGACCTACAATAATTCATTTAGTGGCCATTCAAAGCTACAACGGCACTCCAAAAATGTGACTTATGACCATTTTTCATAGTTACGTCCATTTGCAGCCTCTCCTTGCTCACGGGATCAAAATTCAGACACTCAGCAACCTGTTCATAGTTATGATGATAATTGCAGCGTCTCGGGGGGGAGTGTCAGGCCGTCCCCTTTGGCAACCTTCTGACACGCAAAGTCCACGGGGAAGCCGGATTCACTTAACAACTAGGTTGCTAACTTATCAACGGCAGTGATTCGCTTAGCGACTTGTGGCAAGAAAGGTTGCAAAATGAGGCAAAACTCACTTGTAAAACAAAATGTCTCACCTAACAACTGAACTTTTGGGCTCGATTGTGGCCGTAAGCTTCTGTTCATTTAGTGTCCGTTCAAAGTTACAACACTGAAAAATGCGACTTATGACCACTTTTTAGGACCATTGCAGAATCCCCAT